CCACCTTTTCGAATCCCGTAATAAAATGGCATCATAGCAGGATCTTATTGAGAAGCTAACATTTCCTTTTGCTATGCCTTCTTTTACTGTAGTGAAAGAAACTTGGGCTAGCTTTATTTCCGAGAAGCAAAACAACTCGAGACAACTAGAAAAGAGTGCTCAACGAAATTATGCATACATTCTAATTATTTGGTTAATGTGGCCTTCCAGGTAGAGTCCTTTAGTTAATGAAAGTATCGCATGACGGATGTTGTCTGCGCTAAACTTACTTCAGTGTTATTGGTTTCTGCTCGTGTAATTATTCTAAAAAATATTTTTAAATAAATATTTTTATTCAAAATATCTATGCTAAGTATCGTAGGTGTAAAGATGAAACCACTTCTTTTCATATTTCTTTATATTTTAGTGGAAAGTAATTATGAAGCAGAACAACTCTCGCGTAGTAATTCACTTTTAGAGGAGTTTGCATATTTACTAAATATTATTTTAAAAACTACTGCCAGTAAATACGAGAATAATCAGGGTGGCATAATAATTGAGTATATTTAAGATAGAGAAACAATTTCTTTCTCAAACTTTCTAGAAATCTAAAACATAAGAAGAATTTTGAGAAGTTATCTTTATTAATTAGTTTTCTTTTTGAATTAGGAAGTTACATTTGTTAATGATTTTGGTTTATATTATATGGAATCTTTAGTTGTATATGCTTTCTATTACCAAAATATAACTAATAAGATGGCTAGTTGCAAAATTGCAGCGTAGACGACTTATAAAGAAATAAGTCAAAAATTTAAAGTATCCATTCTGCATTAGCAAAATGTATTCTTCCTAAATTATTAGTTATTTGTTAATCTTAGAGGAAAATATTTTTTATAAAGACAGATATTAAAGTTTTTTTGAACTAGAGAATTAATTTGTGATTTATTAAAAATATTAATTAATCTTTATTTAAGAGTATTCACCATTAGGGCAGATGAAGTTGAAACAACTATATTTAAAGAGACTATGTTTAATAATTTCAGAATAAAATTTGCCTAGTTTATTAGAATGAGGAACTAGAGGTTGGCCTCATCGATAATCCCATTACAAATTTGTTATGGGAATGGACTCACCTGCCTTGAATGTCACGTCTGCTCCATGACCCAGTGACGACCGTATTGGTGACATGAACACAATATTATTTGCATTAAAGGCGGGGTCTAATGTGTGGTACTGTCTAGATGGAAGTACTTATAGCGAAAAACAGCTCATATAAATTAGGTAGCCTTGTATTACTTACTCCCTTATCTCGTTGCCATGAGACTCAACTAAAAGCCCTTTATCACTTTATCCGACCTAGGTTAATTGCAGCTCTTACCCATGCAGTTTAGCATGACAACCATTAAACGCATTTCTTGATAAAATATATAATTACAGAGAAACGCAGTCTTTTTTGTAAAACTATCAAGTCTTTTAAGGTTTCACCTTCACAAAAGTGTTTTTTAGTTCAATCAGTATGAAATTATTAATTAAATATTTGGAAAATGATTACTTTTCACGAACTAACCGGCAATTTTACATCAAATTTAATAGCATTTCATTAATTTGTAATGCAAACAGATTCTAATCCTTGCATCGGTTATGCATGTCGGTGGCCTGGAGAAGTGTGTCGAGTAGATGGAACAGGCCGAGCCCAATGTTTATGCATGCGCAACTGCCCCAAAGTCATAGTACCAGTCTGTGGCTCGGATGATGTGACCTACGATTCTCCTTGCCATCTGGAGCAAGCGGCCTGCGCCCAGAAACGGGATATCTGGATTGTATATGCAGGCCAGTGCTGTAAGCAGTAAACTTAGCAAAAGAATTTCCTTATTGAGCCATTCTAATATTTTACAATTCTTTGTTTGTAAATGGTAATTGTAAACTGCTTATGTAAAAGTACTAGGCATCAAGATCTCCATTATTCAACAGAAATTTTACTCAAGCGTACTATAAAAAGCAAGGGAATTCCAACTATTTTACATTATAGAACTACTTAACATTTTTTAATTTTGATTCTGAAAGAAGCATTTAAGAATGTTTTGTTCAGATATATTGCGGACCATATTCTTTTCAATTTGTCGTCTTCATACATGGCCCTATTTCGCGTATGAAGACACATTTTTCCGTGTACAAGCTGTTAAATTAGGTAAAATTAATATTGTTGTGCCAGAAACAAGAGAACTTTAATCAACTTTAAAGTTACCTTATTTAGTATAGTTTACTCTTGTTGAATAACCAATTTATACTCATACTTTATGGATGACCTCAAGAATATTTCCCCCTGAATTAAGGAACATTATTCTATTATTATTTTTCAGAATTAATTGAAAAAGTCGTAGTATATGCTTAAATTAAAATAAATGAAAATATTCTTAGCTTTAAAACTTAAATTTAATAGTAATAGAAAATATCAACAATATATTCTAAATTGTCGACTAAAATTTACATTATCCTCTTTGAGGAATGCCATTGAGTTCATATGATTGTTTGCTCTATTATTTTACTTTATCCTTCATCCTCTAGAGTATATTACACTCTCCTAGGCCTTAGCAGCACTACCACTAGGAATTAAATACAAAGAATAAAAATGAAATCCTATTTTCACTCAACAAAAAAGTTATGCATATTAGTTCTAATGCAACAAGCAAAAAGAATGTGGGTTAATAGATTTTATAAACCTCTGCCACTCTGGACGAGAAAACCTCTTGGGAAGCAAGGTTATGTGAAATTTAAAAAAAGCATCAGCATGACTCATCTCATTATGGGAAAATTCAACTACCTGTCTTTCATCCCCTTAAACGAAATATGGTGA